CATACAGACACTGCATGGTCCTGTAAAGCAGTGGTTAGCCAGGTCATATGATGCAAAGACCCTGATGTCATACAGACACTGCATGGTCCTGTAAAGCAGTGGTTAGCCAGGTCATATGATGCAAAGACCCTGATGTCATACAGACACTGCATGGTCCTGTAAAGCAGTGGTTAGCCAGGTCATATGATGCAACGACCCTGATGTCATACAGACACTGCATGGTCCTGTAAAGCAGTGGTTAGCCAGGTCATATGATGCAAAGACCCTGATGTCATACAGACACTGCATGGTCCTGTAAAGTAGTGGTTAGCCAGGTCATATGATGCAAAGACCCTGATGTCATACAGACACTGCATGGTCCCAGTAAAGCAGTGGTTAGCCAGGTCATATGATGCAAAGACCCTGATGTCATACAGACACTGCATGGTCCTGTAAAGTAGTGGTTAGCCAGGTCATATGATGCAAAGACCCTGATGTCATACAGACACTGTATGGTCCTGTAAAGTAGTGGTTAGCCAGGTCATATGATGCAACGACCCTGATGTCATACAGACACTGCATGGTCCTGTAAAGCAGTGGTTAGCCAGGTCATATGATGCAAAGACCCTGATGTCATACAGACACTGCATGGTCCTGTAAAGCAGTGGTTAGCCAGGTCATATGATGCAAAGACCCTGATGTCATACAGACACTGCATGGTCCTGTAAAGCAGTGGTTAGCCAGGTCATATGATGCAAAGACCCTGATGTCATACAGACACTGCATGGTCCTGTAAAGCAGTGGTTAGCCAGGTCATATGATGCAAAGACCCTGATGTCATACAGACACTGCATGGTCCTGTAAAGCAGTGGTTAGCCAGGTCATATGATGCAAAGACCCTGATGTCATACAGACACTGCATGGTCCTGTAAAGCAGTGGTTAGCCAGGTCATATGATGCAACGACCCCTGATGTCATACAGACACTGCATGGTCCTGTAAAGCAGTGGTTAGCCAGGTCATATGATGCAACGACCCTGATGTCATACAGACACTGCATGGTCCTGTAAAGCAGTGGTTAGCCAGGTCATATGATGCAACGACCCTGATGTCATACAGACACTGCATGGTCCTGTAAAGCAGTGGTTAGCCAGGTCATATGATGCAAAGACCCTGATGTCATACAGACACTGCATGGTCCTGTAAA